CTTGCGGTTGTCATGGTATTACGGGAGTGCCATACGGTTGTCATGGCGACTGGGTCTCGTGGCCTGTAGCTGTTGTGGCCCTGGGGTAGTGGCCGAGGGCATCTCTGCGCCAGGACAGTGGGACGGCCAGGGGGTTGGCATCGCACGGCATCGCACGGTAGTGTCAGAAGGACCTTGGTTGCTGGGGTCTCCTGGGCAATGGGCTTGGGCTGCAGGGAACCCAGAGGGTGGGGACCCCAGTGTGGCAGGCCGTTGCCATGGCGCCGTGGCTGGGAGACTGTGGTTGCCACGTTACTGTGGTTAACAGAACCTGTTGGCCATTCTGCTGTGGGTAATGGAATGTGGCTGCCTCAGCCAGTGGTTAACAGAATGTGGCTGCCCGGGTGTTGTGGGTGGTAGAAGGTGGTTGCCACAGCACTGTGGGTAATGGAATGCGGTTGCCATGGTATTCCGGGGAGCAGAATGTGGTTACCATGGTGGCTGGGTAGGAGCCTGGTGGCCACGGAAGCGTGTGGTCGCGGGGGCACCGCGAGCGGGGCGGGGTCGCAGTCAGGGGTGGGGGGGCGGGGGGTGCCGAGCCATCTCCTCCCCGGGGCTCAGCGGCCCCCAGGGGCATGATGACCCCTAACCCACCCCTGCCCCTCGGCCCCCAGGACACCCCTCATGTTTACAGTTTACGGTGAACATGACGGCGGCCGTGCGGACCTACCGCTGGCAGTGCATCGAGTGCAAGTCGTGCAGCCTGTGCGGCACCTCGGAGAACGACGTGAGTGCGCGCCGCCCCCGGGACACGCCCCCTGGCGGGCCCCGCCCCTCCGCCCCGCCCCTCCGCCCGCCCACGCCCGCGGGGCCTAAAGCCGCTCCCCGGTGCCCCTCCCTGGGGAGCACTCGTAACCTGTATTATTGTTATTGTTAGTGTCCATTAACTGAGCCCGGCACTTAGCACTTAGTGCTCTCCAGCTCTCTGACTCCTCCCAACCGCCCTCGGAGGTAGGTGCTCTTGTCCCCGCCTCACAGAGAAGAAACCGAGCTCAGACCGGGGAAGTGACTTGCCCGAGGTCCCCCAGCTAGGACCCGAACCCACATCCATGGCTTCCAGAGCCGGTCGCAGACCATCTGGGTGTCCTTTTAAGTGTTCCACAGAATCCATAAAGCCCGGCCTAGGAGCTAGCTGCAAACGGGCAGACCCCAGGGGCGTTGTGCCGGGCCAAGCCGCTTCTGCAAAGACCTGCTCGGAGCCCCTTCTCGTGGGAGGGCCCACCTTCCCCAGCCCCCGTGACCTACCCCTGCCCCAGCCCCCCCACCCCGGTTTCTGGTGCCCGTGCCCCCAGGGTGCCAGCTGGGCGGGTCTCACCCCCCAGGACCAGCTGCTGTTTTGTGACGACTGCGATCGGGGTTATCACATGTATTGCCTGAGCCCCCCCATGGCGGAGCCCCCGGAAGGTGAGAGAAGAGGTGGGCACCACACGGGGGGGCGGGGGGCGGGGTTGAAAAGTTGTCTTCCTGCCGGTAAAGACCCAGGACTGTGTCTGCTGGTTGGGAGGGAGTTGGGCCAGCCCTTCTGGGACCTGGGCCTAACTCCCTGTCCTCCCCCGCCCCCCCAGGGAGCTGGAGTTGTCACCTCTGTCTTCGGCACCTGAAAGAGAAGGCCTCTGCCTACATCACCCTCACCTAGGCCTGGCTCTGGCTCACCTGGACCTCTGGGGTGGTGCTTCCCGATCTGCCTCTGGGAGCTCCTCCACGCTCTCCCGCCCTCAGTGCCCCACAGCGGGAGGGGGAGAGGGGGAGCCTGAGAGGGGGCTGGGCCACCCCCTTCCCTCTGTGCAAGTGGAATGTTTGCCCTGTGGGTTGGTGGGCCCAGCAGGGCCCCTCTCCCTTCCTCCCTCCTTCCCCATCCCTTGGCAAATGGGCACCAGGGGCTTCTGGTCCCCTCAAAGCCATACCCCGCCTCTGGGCGGGCATGAGGGGCGGTAGATGCCAGCCCGGGGCACGGACACAGCGTTTTTCTAAAGAAAGAGTCAAAAAGTTAAAAAAAAAAAAAAAAAGAAAAAAGATTAATATATACAAAGAGTCCTCTAAGGCCTGGCTGGGTGGTGGGGGCCCTGCTGAGCGCATCCACTGGGCACCAGTCTATGCCAGCTTCCTGCCTAGCAGCCCCCCCCCCCCAGTTTCTGGAGTTGCAGCTGTCCCACCTCCTCACCCCAAGTGGGCACCGTTCCCCCCGTGTGCCCAGGGCAGGTGGGTGTGGTGTCCACCCTCGCCCCCCTCCTGGTGCCCACCGTGGATACTGCATGACGTGAACCATGGTTTTGAACTCCGTTCCTGCTCCCTCCCTGAGAGCCCCGCCCTGCCCGCTCTGAGCCTGCCGTGGCTGGGCCCCGCCGTGGCTGGTGGGCGTCGGCTGGGGCGGGGGGCAGGCGGGCCCCTGCCCAGCGCCTGCTGGAATGAGAAGCACAGACTCTGCAACGGACTAGTTTTTCCTCCTTCCCCTGCTCCAGTTCCCCAGCGGCCAGGCCGGGCTGCCCCCCTGCCCCACTCGCTGGCCATTTTGGGGGCGGCGAGGGGGCGTGGTTGTTTCTTGTGGTTGTGTGTGTTTGTTGTTCGGGTTTAAAAAAAAAAGGGAAATTGAGACTGCAAGTGGGGGAGGTGGTGGGCTTGGGGGGTCTCCCCCGATCCGGGCATGCCCCCCCCCTTGTAAACGAGTCTCCTTTATTGCCTGCCTCTGCTGTGAATTAACTTGTTCTGTGTATTAAACTGGGCCTGACCCCTCTGCCCACGACTGCCTCGTTCTCCAGGCTGGACTGGGGGGGCATCGCCATGAAGGGGAGAGGGGGGCCTTGTTGAGGGAGAACTGACCGAGGTTAACAGCTGGAGCGGGCCCGACCTCCCTCTCCCTCCATCTCCCCCCCCCCCCCCCCCCCGCCTTTCTCTGGCTTTGTCCCAGCTCCTCCCAGCCTCGCCGGAAAGGAGAGGGGGGGATGGGGTGGAGGGGGCTCCCGCCCAGCCAGCTGTGGTTGCCCTGGCAACGGACTGCTGCAGCTGCAGCGAGCAGCAGTGAGGGGGGAGGCGGGAGCTGGGGCCTGGGGGGGGAAGGGATGGAAAGATGAGGAGGCCGCCCTCCCGGGCTAGGGTAGGGGGCGGGGGTGCCAGGAGCACCTCCTCCCAATCCTCCCCCCCACCTCCGACCTCCCCTGGGGTCCTCCATTCCAGGGATGTTGGGAGGGAAGCAGATTTGGGTGAGGTGGGATGAGGAGAGAACCAGGACACCGAGAGATCAGGAGGCAGACACACAGCCACACATTTATAGAGAATCGGAACAAGAGCAGGAGAGGGAAGAAATAGATCTGGAGAGAGAGGTAGAAGAGCGAGCCACAGGAGTGACGGGGGTGGGGGTGGGGGAGAGAACAGAAGAGAGATGGAGATTCAGTGGGAGAGGAAATAATAGTAAGAAAAAATAGCAGACACACCAGGGAGAGACAGAAGGAGGAAGTCGAGAGTGATCTGGAGAAGCAGGAGAGATTCGATGAGGGGAGGCAGAGAACCCGGGCACATAAATTAGGAGAGAGACAGAAGAATAAGAGGGAAGCACATTTGGGGAGAGAGAGAGACAGGATCTGCGGACAGGTAGAGTCCCAGGACAATGACACAGAGATGAGACTTCAGGGGAGAGGACAAAGAATTTAGGGGACAATAGAGAAATGTGGAGAGAGCCAAAGGTATGAAGGGCTTCAGAGGTTGGCTGGGGACCGAGCCAGGGGTGATGGGCGGGAGGGCGAGACTGGCGGAGGGTCCAAGAGGGCGCCCGCTGGAGAGATCGGGACGTGGCCGCGGAAGGCAAAAACTGGGGCAAGACGGGGACGGGACCAGCAGGGCACCAGTGTGGGTGCGAGTTGCGGGGCGTTGGACGTTGGTGTGTGTCACAGGCGCCAGGAGAGGATGTGAGAACAGCTTGTTCCACCGTTCCCGTGCTGGTGGGGGAAGGGCGGCACGGGGAGAGGATGGGGCCTCAAGGAGGGCGGAGACTGGGAGAGTGTCTGGAACACTCTAGAATTTTTAGGAGATGTGGAAATAGCTGGTCCACCTCCTCTGGAAAAAGGCTATATGCCCGTTTTGGAAAAAGATATTTTTTCGGGGGGGGGAGGGGAGAGGCTGAGTCAGAGAAGCATCAGGTTTTAGCTCAGAGATGGAAGACCCAATGACAGGTGAGGGGGTGAGGTGGGTCAGGAAGACTCAGCCACCTGGCCAGCCCTGTCACGAGGTTGGGCTGCTTCTCCCACAAGAGGCCAGACCTTGGATTTTCACGTGGAATTCTGAGATTCAGAAAATCAGTGGGACCTTGATCCCCAGGTCAAACTGCGAGTGTTTCATCAGGGCAGCTGCGGAGCCGGGCCACGAGAGGCCCTAGAGGGAGGCCTGGCCCAGGGGCGAGGTTATGGGGCACCCCGCCTCACTGTGTTCCCCCCTGGCCTGGAAGCAGGGGCTGATTTGCACCCGAAACCACGAACCGGACGGCGGGCGGCCTCCTCCCACCGATGAGGGCGGGGCCATGCAAATTAGCCAGCGCCGGGAGGGTGTGGCCTGGGGAGGCCTCAGGGTAAGGAGGCAGGGGGCCCCTTGGCTCGGAGTCCCGCTGCCGAGGACGGATTTACCAAGTTGGAAATCCGGCTGTCTGTACTACCTCCAGATTCTTAAAAGTTTGACCATTAAATCTAAAACCGGCACACTCCGTGGGCCTGGTCTGGCTTTCTGGCCGCTACAAATGGTTTCTTCGGTGCAACCTCTCCCTCTGTTCAACTTAAGGACTTTTTACCTTCTGAGTGCTGGGTTCCTGTCATTTGGGTTTCAAGGAAAGGAAGTTTGCGAGGCTGGTGCTGAGGAAAGAGTGTGTGTGTGTGAGTTTGCGTTTGGGACAAGGGGGACAGGAGGAGGGGGCTGACGCTGGACCACACCCTCTCATCAGTGACTCCAGGCAGCTGCCCAGCTAGTGAACACACAAGCCATTTCTATGAAACATTTATTTCCTTTGAAACCTCCAGAAACATGCCAGAAAAATCTCAAGACCGGGATAGGGGAAAAAAAAAAAAAAGACAATAAAGAATAAAAAATCCAAATGAAACAGATCAACATATGAAAAAAAAAACCCCTGCTATCTTCAAGCCTTCAGATAAAACACCAACCTCAAATTAAATAGATTTCTTTTGCAGAGATCCTTAAAAAAAAATAACAGAAAACAAAACCAAAAAAAAAAAATCATAATTTACACTTGTCAATGTACATGATTAGGTCCCCAAAATGATTCGAATGATCCGAAGATGTGAGGAGAACTTAAAAAAAGAGCGGGGGAGGGGGCAGCCTCCAGGTTAGGGTCTGAGGAAAGGGCGGTGGGGCGGGTTCTGGACAGCCCTTCCAAAAAGGGGGTGGGACAGGGGGCAGAGACATCACAGTAGTTGGCCAGGGCTGAGGACCAAGCGGGCCCCACCTTGAGGCCCTCTCACTCCACGGCTGAGGGTGAGGGTGAGGGTGAGGGACAGAGACGGCAGGTCTGAGGGCTTCTGCCCGACTGCCTCGCTCCTGGGGTCAGAGGTGGATCGCAGGGAGACAAGCGTGCCCTTTCCTCTTGCCCCTGCTGGCCCAGCCTGGCACCCCTCCGAGTGCCTGTGTCCCTTGCGGTCCCCACAGCCCCCTTCCCTGAGGTTTCTGGCCCCAAAGAGAAAGCGGTGGGGTCTCTGCACCAGGGCTGGGCCACCTGGTGCTGGCTTCCAGCCCAGAGAGTGCTGCCTGCAGCGGGGCCAACTCCCCCTGCCTGGGGCCTCCCCAAACGGGGAAGTCCAGTGGCCTGTTCCCCCTGACTGCATCCCTCGGGAGTCCTCCCACTGAGTCCCAGCCCGTGGGGGACACCCCTTGATCCTCAGCTTGAGGTTGGGGGGAATCCACAGATTGTGGCCATACAGACTTGTTCTGGCGCAACTCTACATGAAAAAATAAATATATATATATATCTCTTTTTTGTTTTTAAAGGAAAAAAAAAGAAACTCTGTTTCCTGGGTGAACAGCGTAGTACCGCTCTGGCCTGGCCGACTGGCAAGCTGCCCCTTATTGCCTTGAGAGAACCAGCGTCCCGTGGGGGTTCACACGGCAAAGCCCTCCTGCCTCCCCGGGGAGCACAGTGAGGGTGTCCGGACGTCCGCTTGCGAAGGAAGAACAAAACCAGAGAGGAGCCGAAGGCTGTTTTCTCTCCAGCCCTGACCCGAGGGCTGCGTGGAGCCCCTCCAGGTGCCCGGAAGAGGCCCTGGCCGTGTGGTTGTTACTGGCGGGGCTGGGGAGGAGAGATGGGCCCTACGGCCCAGGCCTGCGCGGGAGATGGAAGGTGGTGGAGCGGCCCAGGCGCTGTAGGCCTCTGGCGGTCGGTCGAGGGGCTGACAGAAAAGACTGCAGAAACGGTCCCGAGTGTGCAAATAGAGTTTCCCCTCAGAGAAGCTGACTCTGGATGCTGGGGCTTCCTCTCTCCATCCTGGGGTCCCAAGAAAAGAACTGAAACTCTAAGAAAGTGCTCCTGGTGGCTTTTTGGAAGAATACGGTTGGAAGGGGGTCACGTCCGTGCTTTCTGGAGCCCCGACCCGTGTCCGCACAGGACCTCCGCTCTCTGGGGCCTGGGGGAAGCTCAGGCCAGTCTCACACTCATTTCTCATGCAGGGGGCTTGACCCCACAAGCCCAAACTCTGTTGTACGCCGTGAAGAAACCTGGTTTGTGAACTCCCGGAGCTGTGGGGTTTGGAGACACACTCTGGTCCTCCCTTCTCCTCTTCCTATGGCTTCTGATGGCTTGGTCCTAGGAAGAGGCTAGAGGGGCCATCCCCGGGGGGCCGGGGTGGGCGCGGTCCAGTGTCCAGGGGCCAGAGCTTGGCAGTTCAGAGGGGCGGCCTGAGACCGGGTCACCTTGTGGGGCCGGAGGAGCGGTGAGGCCTGCTGCCGTCCAGGGTCTCTGTGTCCACGAGGAGGGCAGTGGGGCCCTGGCTGCGTCATCTCGGTCACACCCGCAACCGGGCAGCGAGCTGAGGGAGATGGGAGGGCGGGAGCCCACAGCCGGCCCGGCCAGGGGGCCACGTCAGAGCTCCTTCTTCTCCCTGCAGAAGATCTCGGCGAACTTGCGCAGCTGCTCGCTGGCGGCCTGCGACTCCTCCTGCAAGCGCTGGTTATTCTGTCGCAGGCTGGCCACCTCGGACTGCAGCACGGCCTTGTCCTGCTTCTCCTGTGGGGCGGGGCCGGCGTCAGCGGGTGTGCAGAGCCAGGCGGCCACGGTTCGAATCCCAGCTCGGCCGCTCGGCAGCTGAGCGACCCTGGGCAAATGGTCTCATCTCTCTGGACCCATCCCCCTCAACTCTTAGAACACAGACCTCACTGTAATCATTATCACCTCAGTTTACCCTCACGGCCACCCGCGGACTTCGGGACTGCTGTTAGCCTCAGGTTCCCAGGAGGGAGAGGAAACCCAGCCTAGCAGAGCAGGCGGGGAGCTGGGATGCGGATGGACGCGGGCTGCCTGTATGGGCTTCGCTGGCCCTTCTGAGGTGCCCTTCCAGGCTCTGTGACATCCCAAGGCAGCTGACTTGTCCAAGGTCACACAGCATTACACGGGGGGGTTGGAACCTGGGCCCCTAGGATTCCTGCGCTTGAGACTCGCACGGTATATTCTGCCACCTTTCTTTTACCCCGAAGTATATAAAGTACCAAACAGAAGTCCTCTGCCCTTACTTCTCTCCTCCTCCTTCTACATCCTGGAGGTAAGTACAACGAACAATTTGGAATGCTGCCTTCTAGATAACACTCTGACCCATGGACGTTAAACTTTTTTTTCAAGTATGATAATGTTCTAGGCAGTAGTCTGTAGCTTGTTTAGTTTCTACTTGAGTGACTAGACTTCTTTTGCATGTCAGTAAATATGCAGATTCCTGCTAGTGTTTTAATTGGCTGCGGAATATTCCATGGCACGGGTGTCCTGTCCTTTATATAACCACTCTCCTGTGGGGGGGGGGGCAGCTGCACTGGCGACAAGTTTTTATTGCCAACAGAGCATCAGTGAACATCCCTGCTCATGGATCTCTGGCCCCATGCTTGCAATTGTGCTGGACAAATTCCCACAAGCAGAATTGCGGGATTGACAAGATACCCAGCCACATTTTTTTTTTAATAAGTATTCTCCAACTGCCCTCCGAAAAGGTTGGGCCAATTTGTTCTTCCTCCAACAATTTAGGAGAGTTCTCTCCATGTGCTTATTACCAGACTTTGGTATTGTCGCTTTCTACTCTTGCTCATGACTACATTCAAAGCTGGGCGGTCTCCCCTAGAATGGGTGGGGTGGGGACAGGTGCGTCAGCCTCGCGCGCGTCTGGGAAGCGGAACAGGGAGGCGCACAGCGGAGGCCTGGCTGCCCGGCGGCCTTACCTTCTGGAGGTCGGTGTGCAGCTGTTTCAGCATCACCTCCAGCTGGTACACCTTGCCTGTCAGGTCCAGGGGAGGCTCCTCGCTGGAAGGACAAGGGACAGGGTGAGACTCAAGGCCCCCCAGGCCTGGGGGGAGGGTTCCAGACCCACAGCCGGGGAGGAACAGGGGGGCCAGGACCCTCTGGCCCCTCAAGCTCTGGGGAGCCCTGTTCTTGCTGGGGTCCTGAGGGGGTCTGGAGGAGGGGCTCTGGGGGAAGCCTGAAGCCAGCCCTCCTCCCTGCTGTGCTCCACCCAGAGAGGGTCCATCTGTGGATGTGGATGGGGGCTGTGGATCTGTGGATGTGGGCGGGGCTTGTGGCCGCCTGTCGAAGGCTGTGTGCGTGCCTGCCCCGAAGTGTGCCCTCCCCCCAGGCACAGACCATGCGTGTACTTCAGCAAGAAATTCCTCCCGGGTGTGAGCACCTCACAGAGCACAATACAAGCCTGCCCCGCAGACATCCACTGAGCACCCAGCAGACCTGGGCCCTGCATCTGCAATGGGCAACGGAACAGGAGGGCCTGCCCTTGGGGACGATAATAAAGGACGCTGACAAAGATAATGACAGCGTCGCCCTTCCGGAGAGCCTACCCTGCGTTGGGCACAGTCTCAGTGTAACACAGCTCCTGGCCCAAAGTGGTCTGGGAGGTCACCACGTCCTTACCGGTGGACAGAGCAGGGAGCCCAGCCTGTGGCTCCTCCTCTGTGCAGTCCCCCAGCCCTGGCCTGCTGGGCCCCTGCAGAGGACAGTGGGCAGCCCCTTCCCTCCAGCAGGCTCCATGGGGCACAGTGGGGGTGCCAGGGAGGGGGGTGGGCTGCAGCAGAGCAGAAGGGGGAGAGAGGGGAGAGGACTCGGCCGCCTGCCTTCCCGCCCCTTTCTTCCCCCTCCCTGGTCCTGGATCCTGGGGACCTGCAGCTGCAGGGGAGGTAGGAGGCAGGTGGGAGAGGGTCACCAGCGCAGGGGTGAAGGGAATGCGGGGAGCTTGCCCCGGGCCACAGTCCTGCCATTCCCACACCCAGCCCATTCCTCCCTCGCTGCCCCCCTCGCTGCAGCGGCACCATCTGCAGCCACCTCGTTCCTGTGATTACAGTCGGGCCACATCTTTGGTGGAGGTTGAGTTCTAAAGCCAGTGAAAGAGGGGTGTGAAGAAGAGTCAAAAAAAAGAAGAGTCAGGAAAACCCAGAAGAGTCAAAATTTCTCTCGAAAATCCCTTCATTTGCCCATAAAGTACAGCGCACCACTGATGTACATGTAAGCCAAGCGAGTGCAGTCAGATATGTTGCACTAAACATAAGAGGACAGATGCGAGAGGTCTGCCTCCCTGTCCTCCTCTGTCCCCCTCTGTCCCCGCTGGGTCCCAGCTCCTGGGTCCACGGACAGCCCAGCTCCTGGGTCCACAGAGAGCCCAGCTCCTGGGTCCACAGACAGCCCAGCTTCTGGGTCCACGGACAGCCCAGCTCCTGGGTCCACGGACAGCCCAGCTCCTGGGTCCACGGACAGCCCAGCTCCTGGGTCCACAGAGAGCCCAGCTTGGGCTGCCAGGGGAGAGGTGACTGTCTGCATAATTCAGGCATGTGCAGAGGGGACCCAAGAGCAGACGGGGGGAGATGAAAGAGGGAGGAAGGGACCACGGTGCAGTGTGCAGTGGGGGGCACTCCTTACAGCTTCACGACTTAGAAGTGAACTGACTGTATTGATTACAGCATTGTCTCCATCCATGGGGATGGGGCTAACCTGGACTCGGTCACCACTGGGTCCCGGTGTGTCCCCCCCAGTCTGTGGCCCCTCTTTCACTGGGCGGGAGTCTGCGTTGTAGGGACCCAGGTTGCCGGCCTCCAGGTGTTTCCAGGGAAAACTCACCTCATGGTAGGGGTGGTCCTGGGGGTGGGGGGCCCCCTCTCCAGGCTCAGGTGGCTGTGGACAGGACTGTGTGCAGGTGGGACCTCCGGGCTCAGAGCTGGGTCGTTGAGAGAGAAAAGCGAGACGGCTCTTTGCACTGCTTGGGGGGGGGGGGAGAGGGGAGGAGGGGTCAGCAGAGCTCCCCGTTCCTCCACCCCTGTGCATCCCCCCACTGCCCCCTGCCTAACCACCTTTCCCCCGCACACCTCCCAGCCAAACCACCCCAACATTCTCAATCACTTGTGCTCGATCACACAGGCATTTAGGATGGGTATCTACCCCAAAACCAAATCAAGTGACACACACACAAAAATCCCATCCTGATTCTGAGCAAGCTTCTAGACCCAATGGCTGGTTTAGACAAAATTCAAGGGATAGAAACAAGTTAAATGCCAGCGTGAGAGAGTAACCACCCAAATTCGGCATAAATGACCTGGTTTCACCAACAAGTAAATGGTATGAAAAAAATGGCCCCAAGTGGATAGGGTTGAAGCTGGGTGAGGAGTTCCTGGGGATTCGTGGTTTTGAGAATGTCTGAAATTTCAAAAGCGAAAAGAGAAGCAAGACAGAGAATACCATGCATATTGAAGAGAGAAAAGAAATCCCATGGCTGTTAAAGCTCCGATTCTGGGGTCTCGCCCTAGACTCGCCCTGGGGATGGGGCCCGAGTACCTGCATTTTTAAGCGGGGACTCGGAGGTGTTCTGTAAGCCCTCGGCGAGCGCCTGGTTCAGTGAGCCCGGGGACAGCCGGACAACGGAATACACGGGCACAGAAAACCAGGAGCCGGGTCCCCCTGCATGCCCCTCGGGCAGAGGTACCACCAGGAGCTGGTGGTACAAGCTGGACACCTGGCAGAGGCAGGCCCCCGACTCCTGTTCTGACATTTTTTTAAGTTATTTTATTTTTTTTTGAAGATTTTTAAAATTTATTTGAGAGAGACTGAGAGAGTGAGAAAAAAAGAGCATGAGTGGAGGGAGGGGCAGAGGGAGAGGGAGAAGCAGGCTCCCTGCTGAGCGTGGAGCCCGGCCAGGGGCTGGATCCCAGGACCCTGGGATCATGACCTGGGCCGAAGGCAGACGCTTAACTGACCGAGGCACCCAGGTGGCCCAGATGTTGATGTGTCTTGTTAACCAGCAGTGGTGACCTTGCTCCCTTGGGTTAAGGTGCCGTCCACCGGCTTTCTCCATTGTGAAGTTACTATTGTTCCCGTCTAAGTCACTTTGTTAGGAGTGAGACCCTGAGTCCAGCCCACTCCCAACAGCGAGGGGAATGAAGCCCCACTTCCAGGAGGGACAGTATGAAAGCACTTGGGGACTGCGCAATCATTCATAAGTATTTTGGGGTAGATACTTTGAGGCTATGGAAACACCCTGCTTCTGCTTAAAGTCTCCCCACTAATTTTAGCAATCATCAATCACATCTGTGCTATTTTAATGATGACTTTCCATTTCCCTCATTCCTTCTAGATTAACTGGGATCCTTTTATAAGTAAGAGCTGTCCTAGCCACCGTCTGTTTATTCACTTACCTACTGATAGAGGAGTATGGACTCATGGACATTTGTTCTATTCTTTGGGTTAGAATCCAATGCTGCTGTTATTTATTTTGCTGTTCAACTGCTCCAACTTCAGCCACTGGGAGCTCTTCGGGATGGCTCCTATGAACCCCTGACATGCCCCCCGCCCCTTGCTAAAACACTTCCTTACTTTCTAGCACCACAAGATGTGATCCCCTTTACTTTTTTTTTTTCTGGAACATTTTGAAGCAAACCCCAGGTATCTTTGTAGCTCCCCTGCAGCAGCTTCCCTATGCCACAGCAACCACGCCACGAATACACCTGCCGAAGTTAACAATAATGCCTTCAGTCTTTTCCATTTGTTTAGATCACACAGGATAACGTCCATACATTGTCCCTGAAACAGACCAAGCTCACAGCGAGCTGTAACAACCCTGACTCCTTTCCGCTGACGGCCCCTCTCCCTGCTCCACAGGGAGGTAACTGCCACTGTGGCCTTGGGTGTGTTTCCTTCCAGGCCTTTCTGCTACACCGTCCCCCATCACCCATCACCTAACCTTCTGTGTGGTTGCTGGGCTTCATTTATTAATTTCAAAGAGGAGGAGGAGAAAGCTCCCTGGGGGACTCTGATGCGCCACCAACCTGCTCCCCCAGCTTTCTCACGGGGTGGTGCTGGCTCCTCAGGCAAGGTGGGGGGTGGGGCAGTGTAAACGGGGTGGCTGCGGGGGAGGGGGCTCTGGCTGCCCCAGCTCCTCCCAGAAGCCCACAGCTGGGGCCCAGTGTCTGGACAGCTCTGCCTTCCAAACACAATACTACAGCTATTGGTGGCATCTGGGTCTTCAGGGAGCGGCTTGGGGTCATCCAACTCTGTCTCTGCAGCTCAGTGAGTTACGACCCAAATTTGCCTCAATGAGGAGAGAGACTGAGCGTATGTACAAAAGTATAAGAGCATCTGAGTTTCCTTTTCCACAGTGATCTGCTTCCTGTGCCCATCTTTCTGGAGGGTCATTCAGGCCTGGGTTCGAATCCTGACCCTGTGTGCCCTTGGCCAGCTAGGGGACTCTGGTGGCCGAGCCGCAGTTTCCTCATTTGTAAACGGGAATCCTTACGCATCCCTGAGACCAGAGCTTAGAAGTGATGTCTGTAAGGCGGTCAAGTGCTGGCTCCATGGAGATGCTCTGTAATGTCACCGTGGCCGTGTCACCTCCTCCTCCAAGTGCCGCAGAGCAACCCTCTCCGCCACTGCGTGTCAGGGCTCCGAAGGGTCAAGTTTACCTGCAGCACTGGGCCCCTGCTGATGGTTCCCAAGGGAGCGGAAGGCAGGGCTAGACCAGAGGCTGGACCCGGCCACACCCGGACGCCTGACCGTCTTTGCCCTGAGACCAGGAGAGGCTGCAGGGTAGGATGGAAGCGACCAACAGGAGCAGACAAGGAGGGAAGCTTTCTCCAGGCCACCTGCCAGATGTGGACTGGCCCAAACATGGAAATAGGAAGGCCACGTACCCTATGGGTCTGGTTTAAGGGATCCTGCTCTGAGCCAGACCCATGCCGGGCACCTAGCAGTGACGGAGATGGCCCCAGGTCCTGCCCTCCCAGGCCAGTGGGGAATATAGACCCATCACTGGGCAGCAGTGGCCCTGAGTGGGCAGGGCTGGGGGAGCCCAGGGCAGGTGCCTAATCCAGACTAGGGGATATTAGGGAGGGCTTCCTGAAGGAAGGACCGCAAAGCTATTGTCTAAAAGATGGAAAAATGAGCCAGAAGAATATGTTCGGGTTGGTCAGGAATCACCACGGGTCCCACTGTACAGATGAGGAACTGATGCTTAGAAAGATCAAGCTGCTTGCCCAAGGTCACACGGGAAGGAAATGGCAAAGTGCTAGCTGTCCCTCATTATCTGTTTTCCCTTTTTCCGTAAGAACAAATCCCAAACGTTCGTTGGGCATAGGGCCTCATTTCTCAGCCTGCCCTGGAGCCATGAGGTACGGCTCTGTGCAATGCCCTGGCCCACGGCAAGTATGCGTAGGGGGAGTGTCAGGCTTGGGGCTGTGTCCTCTCTCCTGCTGCTCGGAGCTGAACACGGTGGCCTGCGCTCTAGCAACCATCTTGGACCGTGAGGGTGAGGCCCCCTGGAAATGGCAGAGCAGAGGGTGCAAGGAGCCTGTACCCCCTAATGCATTTATGGAACTGCTGCCCAGCCCTAGACCCCCCCCCACCCCAGGAATTTTCACCTGCATAAAACAGGTTTAAGTCATTGTTAATTTGGGTTTCCTGCCGCTTGCAGCCAAAGCAAATCTAAACACAGTTTGGATGATTACAAGTTTGCCCTGTGATGTGATATAAGGTGCCATCTGTTGAGGGCTCGTTCTGTGTCTGACATGTTTTACACACGGTGGCCTTTCATGTAATCCTCACTGCAGCCCCAGGCACGTTCCTGTTCTGCAGATCAGACAGGCAAATACACTTGCCCAGGACTGCACAGTGAGCAAGAGACAGGGCAGGATGTGAACCCTGCTCCCCCTAATTCCGGATCCTGCGTGTGCCCCACTTCAGAGCCCCAAGGCCCTCCATTGATCCTTCTAGGACAAAGCAGCAGGGGAGGGATCGGACCAGGTTGGGTGGAAGGTGCCTACCTTCATAGGCCTTGGCTGCATTCACCAGGCTGGACCACTCAAGGCCAGCAGCCGTGTCAGGCAGGGGCATCATCCCGGGGTCAAGGCGCCGCAGCGGCCGGTCCCGCCCGTCCGCCAGCGAGAGCTCCGAGGCAGAGATGGTGGCTGGGTAGGAAGAGCAGAGAGGGGAGATGGGGGGAGGATGACAACGTGAAGGAAACAAAGACGTTCATCCATTCTGTTTTACTTTCTGGGTAGCTCTATAATGCTATATAATTGTTACAATAGCACATACGATTGAGTAAACACGTTACCATCATCAGAAGATGCCAAATGCTGGCAGGTAAGGGGGTGGGTGTGTCAGGTGTTTATGTGGGTGGGGACGGGATGAGAGGGACAGAGCAGTGGGACGCACAGTCACAGGTGACACGGCTGGACCGTGTGGGGCCTCGTAGGTCAGGAGGACTCTTTTACTGTGAGTGGGATGGAGCCAAAGGCTCCCCCTGGCTGCGTGTGGAGGCCAGACCGTGTGAGGGTGGAGAGCAGGGAGGTGGTGAGGAGGCTGCCGGGGAGAGTGGACCGGCCGGGGTGAGGCTGGGGCAGGGTGGGGGTGGGGGACGGGAACAAGTAGCAGGTCCTGGAGTGATTTTTTACATGCAACCAAAAGTACTTCCAGAAGAGGGGAGGTGAGCGTGGGCCAGAGAGAACGGTGCAGGGTGACTTCAGAGATGGGGAGGCGGGGGTGGGCCACAAGTTTGCTCCTGGAGGTGTGGCGCAGAGGAGGCAAGCCCAGGCCGCAGATAGAAATCCGGGTTGTCAATGTGTGGCCAGTGTCTGGTGGCGGCAGGGTCGCCGTGGGGAGATGGGGCAGAGAAAGAGGCCCCTGAAGGCTCCGGGTGTTGGGAGTGACAGCGACAGCAGCTGCATGTGGGGCCTCAGCTTGCTGCCGCCTCCCAGCTGCCAAAGGGGAGGGGACAGAGAGGTCAGGAGGTGACTCAGGCAGGAAAGGCAGGGCCCGACCATGCTGGGTGCGCTACGGGACCATCACCCCGTAGCCGGGAGGAGGTGTTGTGATGCTCCCCCGTGTTGTGGAGGGGGAAACCGAGGCTCAGAGCGAGACACGCCTGGCTCGCGCTCACACTCGCTGGCAGTGGCCCTTGGCTCTGAACTGCGTGGTCTGACGCTGACCCTGCTCGATGCCCAGCCCCGCCAGGCTTTGGGGTTTAGAAGGTCCCTGTTAATACTCTGTCCTAACCCTGCTCGCCAGTCCCGAGGTGCAAGCCTGACTCACGGTGGGATTAAAATGCTTGCTCCAGACGGAAGAATACCAACAAAATAATAAACGGCTAGTGCTTTTCAGTGCTTCCTGCATAGATCAGGGATTGTGCTAAGTGTCTTCCACGTATTAATGCGTCTGAGTCTCAGTGTAATGTGGTGAGGGGCAGGTTCGCCTTGAGCTGAGCCGGGGACGGAGTGGGAGCAGGCTCTGGGGAGACTCCACCTCAGTGATACGGGACACAGGCTCAGCCAAAACCCCTGGAGTAGACACATCTCTGAAGTCAAGATCTGTCTGCATTGGAGGGTGCTGCGCATGTGTTATTGCAATGGCCCCGGAAAGGCCGGGCAGCACCCCGTAGTCACGCCAGTGACCTGCAATGAAGTGATGATCGCTTGCACCACATGGCCGTCTGGGTTGGGTTCTGCTGCTCAACGAGCCTGGCCCAAAGTTCTGCATCGCTTCTCAGTTTTGGAGCCTTTGGGGTTGTGAATACGGGACTGGAGGGGGCACTGAAGGCAGGACCCACCCCAGCCGGTGCATGGGCTTTGATGGGGGCCGTGTGCACTGTGCCCCCTTCGTGGGGGATGCTGGGTAAATAGTTGCTGGGTGAATAAAAGAATGGATGAGTCACACCCTTACACCTTCTCCCTCCAAGCGCTGGCAGACTTGGGGGGAATCAGGTAAGTAAATAAACATTCATGAAACCATCTGCTTGGTGCTGGAGCAGGGGGCTGGGGGAGCAGCTAAGGGAAAGCCTGATCCTCGGGGCCCTCCTGTCTGCAGCCTTCTCTAGCTGACTCCCATCTTTGGGCAGTCCAGACTTCTAGCTAGGTGGCCCCCAGGAGACCCCCTGATGCTCGGCTAACCATCCCCTGCTCTTGTGGGTGACACCGTCAGTACCCCCCAGAAGCTCCGACGCACCCCAGCTCCCCACCTCGGCTGACACCACCACTGGTGACCTCCAGTGTGGTCTGTCTGCCCGCCCCCCAACCCTGGCGAAGCCCCCCACTGGCCCCAGTGCGCCCGTGCTCACACTTCTTCTCCGGGAAGCCGCTGCCGGCGGCAGGGCCAGTGGTGGGACTGCCGCCGCCGGGCGGGTGGGGGTGCTGGCGGCGGGCGGGCAGCGTGCTGGAGGGGAAGGCGCAGGTGCTGGTGAAGAGCACGTCGCTGGGCAGGCCCGGCTCCAGGCTGGCGGGGTTGGCCAAGCTGGGCTCCCGCCGCCCACTGCACAGACTCTCATCGGACAGTGTCCGCTGCAGGCTCTTCTGCGGTGACTGTTGGAGAGACACGGACGGTCACGCGGCGCAGTCCTGGCCTGGCTCCCGGTCACTGTCCTCACAGGCGTCTTCCCGTCTCGGACAGCTGTGCGTCTTACCCACCCAGCATCTGTTTCTGCCCCTTTCTGCTCAAAGCACCTCAAATTTCCCCTGGGATGCCTCTTCCCCTCCTCCCTCCCCACCTGGCTCTGGCCCTCCAGAGGCCATCGCCACCCTCCTGCTCCAGGGAAGGTTAGGGAAGGCGGTGTGACCGGAGCTGGACTTATGGGATCCAGTCATTGGTGGGGACCACTGGGGACAGCTGGGTCCCACAAGAGTGCGAATAACCAGAAGTAGGTGGGGACAAGAATGGAGAGAAGCAGACAGTGTCGAGGGACTAAGGGAGCCTGATGGTTCCCCTGCCTCTGGGTAACAAGAGCCTGAATTTCCCCTGGAACCCCGCCCCCACTCTTGGTCCACGCAGTTTGGGTGGGTGGAGGCTGCTTCCACCCTGGGCTCCAGGAGAGGGACACGAGAGCCAGTAAGAGCATCCCTTTCCAGTCACGTGAGTTACCCTAGTGCGGAAGGAATCCCCAACCTGCCTGCCGAGGCTGGCTTATACTGTGATTTGGCTCCTGACTAATGTGACGACCTGACTTCTGGCTATGAAGCCACATACACCTACATACAAGTGGGGCTGGCCGCTGCTGCAGGTGCAGGCCATGGGCAGGAGGAGGCCGGAGTGAGCACAGGGAGCTCTGTACTCCTCCCTCGCCCTCCCACGACTACCTGGCCCACCTGATTCTGTGTGTGTGTGTGTGGTGGGGGGCAGCTTCTACATACCCCCGCATCTCTCTCCTGTTCGGGCGCCAGGTTGTCCATGATGATGAGTTTCTTCAGGTCGTCCTCAATGGTGGATTTGTAGTTCTTCCGTGGGGAGCGGAGGTCTCGGAGGGATGCCCTCAACCGTGGCTGCCCGAAGACGTTTTTTGTATTGGTGTCCACCTGCCTGGAATGAGAGGATGAGGGTCAGAGTGGCCTTGCGGAGGCTCACCCTGCTTCTCAAAGTGGTCCTGACCCAAGAAGGCTGGCTGCCTTCGGGGGAAGGGACTGCGGCCTTCTCCCGTTCACCTGCTGGAGGTGAGCCGGAAGAGGGATCAAATTTATTCTCTCCATTCATTCATCCCACAAGATTTCCTGGGAACCTGCCCTGGGCTGTGCCTGTTCCAGGCGGGGGACACAGAGCAGAGAACATGCAGCTGACCTCCAGTCACAGAGACCCACAATTAACAAGTAACTATACAACAGGTGTCCAAGGTCACACAGGCTGTGTGAGTGGAGGAGTCAGGATTCCAGCTGAGGCCACCAGGCCGCAGAGCCCACAGGTGTCACCTCCGAACTTGACTGCCATGTTTATATCACAGACACGGCATAAAAATGATGTATGGGGGGGCGCCTGGGTGGCTCAGTCGGTTAAGTGTCCCACTCCTAACTTCGGCTCAGGTCATGATCTCAGAGTAGTGAGATCGAGCCCCGCATCAGGCTCCACACTCAGCGCGGAATCAAGCTTGAGATTCTCTCTCTCCCTCTGCCTCTACCCTCACCCCCCAAATAAATAATAAATAAAATCTTAAAACAAAAAGATGTATAGTGTGTGGGGAGCATAACTACATTTGGTTTAGTAATACTCTTTTAAGTGCAAAGAAAAAGTTCTGGGGAAATTATGAACAGTGGGTACATGACCCCCTGGGAGGTCAGGAATCTTTTTAGGAGTTGGAAAAATGGGACTGTCACTTTTCATCTGATACCCTTCTGAACTGTCTCAATTTATTTTACCATAATTAAGTGCCAGAACAATAATGACGATTTAAAAAACTAGTTTAAAAAAAAGGTGACACCTGGAATTTGTCATTTTGTTAACTCAAGAAAGAAAAAGTCTTTGGACCCAGGAAGAAAGACGATGTCTAGGGCTCCTGAATGTTTTGAAGTTTGCATTTTTTTTTCATTTTCTCAGCTGCCACCTTGGGGTTTTAACAAAAGAAGGAAGAGAGGGTGGCAAATTTTTCCCTGTCAGGTTGTATTCCACCCCAAATTAGAATTCCAGGTCTAGGGTAATTCTGGCTCCATTACAGTACTCTCTGAAGTGTGTTCTTTGGCAAATGAAAAGCTTTAAAGCCAAAAGAGAGAAATACACAGTGAAACAGAGGAAGAGCATACACCCCAATGAGTACATGGTTCCTCCCCTGGGAGCTGGAAGGGGGCTCAGCCCTCCCCCTTCCAAAGGGATTTCACAGTTTTCCAGAATCCCCTGCAAGGAGGAGGGGTGGAGCCTGTGACTCAGTGCAGGGCATGTCCCATGCTGTGCCCACCTTCCCTGAAGAGGGAGCAGGCCGGGACTTCAGCCCGTCTATGGCAAGAAAGGGACACTGTTTATGAGGCTGGCCCTCTGGGAGGGGCACAAAGCCACCCGGGGAACACTTTTTTTTTTTTTTTTTTAAGATTTTATTTATTTATTTGAGAGAGAGAGAATGAGAGAGAGCACATGAGAGGGGGGAGGGTCAGAGGGAGAAGCAGACTCCCTGCCGAGCAGGGAGCCCGAGGGACTGGATCCAGGGACTCGATCCAGGGACTCCAGGATCATGACCTGAGCTGAAGGCAGTCGCTTAACCAACTGAGCCACCCAGGCGCCCTCCCGCGGAACACTTTCAAACGTGCATGCTCTTGGCCCGAGGGACTCTATCTGCTTCTGGGCATGTGTCCTTCAGAAAGGGCCGTGTGAACCTACGTGTGCCAAGTATATGGGGACACTTAATAGGGTCCTGTCTGTGAAGCAAACACAGAATTGGCCAGCAGGGGAAGAGCGAGGCCCCACGGAATCATGCCATCTAGCTATTAAAGAGAAGTGGAGCTGGTTCACCTAACACAGAAAGAGGTTCTCCCCGGTATGTCACAGGAATAAAGAAGTGGTATATACAGTGTGAAATCATTTTTAGAAAACAAAGCTTACACATAGCCTAGTTTGATGTATTAAAATTTACCAAACTCTCAGCTCCAAAGGAAGGGTACGTTGGGGGATTCGCTTTCCAAAAATGTGCCTCATCACAGCCTGTGAAATCCTTGGCAATCTGCCCCGCCCTGCCTCTGCCCTTCTCTCCTCCCACACAGGCCTCCCAATGTTCCTTTAGCATGCCAGGCACGGTCCTGCCCCAGGGCCTTTGCACTGGCTCTTCTGGCAGCCTGGAGTTGCCCTCCCCAGCATTCCCCATGAATAGCAGCTTCTCATCTATCCAGCTTATCTCAAATGTTGCCTCCTCTGGGAGGCCTCGCCTGACCACTCAAGCTTCTAGTGTCCCCTCCCAGCCCGGGTGTGCTCCATCACCCAATCCTGTGCGCTGCTTCACTGTGCTCATCTCCTGGCAGTTTGTCACAGGCGCTTGTGTGTTTGTGGTCCCACTCTCACCTCATCTGCAGCCTTCTGTTCTGTGTTGGGAACAAGGCCTGCCACATTGCAAGCACTCAGAAGAAGCTGTTCAACGCGAATCACACGGAGCCAACCTTCCTTCTAACCAACCAACCAACCCACCAACCCACTTCCCTACTTATCTCCTTCCTTTCAACCTTCCTCTCTTCCTTTTTTTTAAAAAAACTTAAGTAGGGCGCCTGGGTGGCTCAGTTGATTAAGCGACTGCCTTCGGCTCAGGTCATGATCCTGGAGTCCTGGGATCGAGTCCCGCATCGGGCTCCCTGCTCGGCAGGGAGTCTGCTTCTCCCTCTGGCCCTCCTCCCTCTCATGCTCTCTGTCTCTCATTCTCTCTCTCTCAAATAAATAAATAAAATCTTTAAAAAAAATAAATAAATAAAAAAACTTAAGTAATCTCTACACCCAATGTGGGACTCGAACTCACGACCCTGAGATCAGGAGTCGCATGCTCCTCTGACTGAGCCAGCCAGGCGCCCCTCTTCCTTCCTTTTCTAAGAAGTGTCAATGACGGGCGCCTGGGTGGCTCAGTTGGTTAAGCGACTGCCTTCGGCTCAGGTCATGATCCTGGAGTCCCGGGATCGAGTCCCGCATCGGGCTCCCTGCTCGGCGGGGAGCCTGCTTCTCCCTCTCCCACTCCCCGTTTGTGTTCCCTCTCTCACTGTGTCTTTCTCTGTCAAATAAATAAATAAAATCTTTAAAAAAAAAAAAAAAAAAGAAGTGTCAATGACTTTTATAAAGCAGGAAAAAGCACAGAGATATTTTAAAAAGTTAAGCCAAAAGAACACAAGTATTTATTTCTTCCCTGTACTGTTTAATTTTGTGTTCATGTGCTAACATTGCCTTCCCAGCTCCCAGGACCTCTGGGAGTCTGATGGGGCATTCGAGATTCTGTGGTGGGAGCCTGGCTCGCCAGGAGACATCCTGTACAAGGTCCTGCCCCAACCCCCAAGCCCGCACACATCTCCGCGGCAGGCCTGACTCTCTCACTGCGCCACCAGGCTGTGTCTAAAGGGAATAGAGTACGATGGAATTCAGTTTGGGGCGTCAAATCAATCATTTTTGCTCTTATTTTTTTCTTCTGGAAGAATTTCCCGATGTAGTTTCTAAATGGCAAATTCTAAGCAATCATTTAAAAGGGCATTAACTCCAGGTTAACAAAACCAACCAGACTGCGCTTGTACATTCCGACCTGTTTCCTTTTTCTCAAGATCTCGGGTCCCCATGATTGTGAAAACCTAATGACCTGGAGGACAAAAGAGACTGCTCTCTGCCGGTTCAAAAGGATGAGATCACCTTCTCTGTGCTAATATGGTAACTGTCCCCGAGATACGAAGAGGAAAGAGCAAGTGAAAAAGGCAGATGTGCAGAGACGGGGAGCCACACTGGCCAACGGAAGGGGGCGTGAGGGAGGAAGCACGTGGGGTCCCACGGGCTTGTCTCGGTTGGAACACTTTGGGATGGACGCGGAAGAAACGAAGACCATGGTTGTGCTTGGGGAGGGGGGTGCTGGACGGCTGGGGGCTGGGAAGGGACAGAGGCTGGGTTTGTGCCATGAACCCTCTGGTACTAGTTCGGTTTTTATCCTGGCCAGGGTTTACCTTTCACGAGACAAACGAAGATCACACCGGAAAGATGTGCCTTCTCTCTGGGGTCTGCCCGACAGCACCAGACATCACCTCTGATTTGCTCGCGTTGCCTGAACTTGGACTTGGCCGTGTTGTGGAATGACACCACTTATAGCAGAAAACAAGGGCAGACAACTTACAAAGGCAGCGCTGCAGTACGGTCCCCCCAGACAACAGCGACTCCTTCTTCCTGTGACAGCAGGGCCTGAGGTGGACGGTGACCGATGGCTCTGACTTGGCTGGGCCTGTCCCCAGCTGACTCTGGGCTCTGGCCTCCAACTGGGGCAGCTCCCTCAGGGCCAAGTTAATTAAGCCAATTAGCACCACTGTCGGCCTCTCTGGGCCGGGGGCTGTGCCAATGTGGCTGGTGAGGACACAGAGCAGGGCTGCACCTCAGGTGGCAGGCGGATATTCCTGGAGGGATGGCTGGGAGAGAGGCCCGTTGGGGAGGGGGGCTGCCCTGTTATGGGGTGGGGATGTTGGGGAGAGGCCTCTCCCCGCCGCTCCTTCCGTGGCTGCACAGAGCTGGACCTGAATCTGAGGAAGGAGCTGGAATGGAAGGTGCCAACCACGAGACACCAGTGCCTGTCAGCCCAGCCAACAGTGACCGGGTGTTTCCCTACGACTCGCTGAAATCCTCACGTCACCTCTGTGCTCACGCGCTCCCTGGCCCCGGTGGCCTTCACACACGGGATCTCCCTTCACTCCCTCGGTGGCGCTGCAGGAGGACGCTTGGGGGGCCTGGGTCCTCAGGTGTGACCCGGGGGCTGGCCCTCCCATCCACCACTCCACACTTAAAGGCAACAGAGACCATTCCTGGAGGAGGCTCTGCTTCCTCCTTGCTGGGCCCAGAGTCTGCGGGGCCAGGGGCCAGTGGGGCCTAAGCACGTGTACCTCACAACA